GGTTTCAAAACTCTTCCATTACCCCAGAAGAACAGCCCATACCCCCTAAAGAAGCATTCCGCCCTCCTTCCCCGGTCCTGGCCGCCGCCAGCCTGCTTCCCGACCCCGTGGGCTTGCCTGTTCTGGGGAGACATCCTGAGGCGGTGTCAGAGGGAGCGCGGCGTGGGCCTGGCTGCTCTCACGTGGTGCAGTGTGTCTGAGGTCCGTGCACCGTGTGGCGTGGCTAGCAGCATGCTCTCTTCCACGGCTGGATAACTCCCACTGTACGGCTGGCCCACCGCCCGTGGAAGGGCTCTGGGCGGGGGTCCTCACCTTCTCGCTGTTACAAATAGCGCTGCTGCTGACGCTCGCCTACGGGTTTCTGTGTGAGCATGCATCTGCGTTGCTTCTCACTGTATACCCAGGGGTGGGGTGGGCAGGCCGTAAGGTGAATTGTGTGTTTGGACTTCATGAAAAGTAACTTTCGTGCATCCAAGGACATCATCAAGAACGTGATCAAGACCATTGATTCCTTTTTTTAGTTAGTTTTTGTAAATGGACCAAGGTAGAGATCTAACCTTCCTTTGCATGTGGCCATCCGGTTGTCCTGGCACCATTTGTTGAAGAGATTATCTTTCCCCCATTGAATGGTCTTGGCACCCTTGTCAAAAATGAATTGGCCAGAGATGTCTGGGTTTATTTCTAGGCTCTCAGTTTTATTCCATTGGTCTATCCCTATGCCGGTGCCACACCGTTTTGATTACTGTCGCTTTGTAGTAAGTTTTGAAGTCAACATGCATTTTTCATGTAACCTGAGTATCTCTTCGGCCCCTCGTTGACAACGTCGGATTGTCTCTGGTTTTTCCCTCACATACAATTGAGTTGTGCTCCAGAAGGTAGACCAGTGAACACCCTACCTGGTGCTTTCCAGATCGTGGACTCTGACTTTTAGTGCATTGTGGTATCAATACGGCGGCTCAGTATTCTTATTCTCTGCCTATCTGAGCGGCAAAAACAGTGTTTCGTTTTAGTTTACATTTTATTAATTATAATAAGGTTCAGCATCTCTTCGAGTTGATTAACTATTCTGTGTGTGTGAATTTATATCTTTCTCCCACTTATTCTCTAATTGAGATGTTGGTCTTTCAATCCGTGAGAATCTTTTGCATGTTAAGGCTCACACTTTATTAAAATGGCCTGGATACTTGTTTGCCTCCTTGGATTGTAGGCTCCTCAAAGGAAAGGAAGGTGTGTCCTGTTTATCCTTGTGTGCCTGGTGGCCAGCACAGGGCACAGCATATAATGGAACTTTCATACATATTCTCTGAAGCAGTGAAAAGGTAGCACCCACTATGTGGCAGGCCCTGTGCTGGGTGTTGATGCAGAAAGATGAACAGAAAGAGGGTCCTTGTTCTAGTGGAGCTCACAGTCTGGGGAGAGACAGACATTCATTCCCGCATTGAACCAAAGTTGACTGAGCAACTCACTCTATGCGGGTGCATGATGTCCATTGGGAGAGCCAGCCTGCTGGGATGAGAAAATGCCAGGACTGTGACAGGTGACCGGTCCCTGGGGAGTCTGTTCCCTTCCCTGGCCTTCAGTATCCCATCCACAAAACATGAGCGACTGGCCCAGATCCCCTCATTCCCATTGGGCACCCATGAGCCCATGCTTCTCTGATGCTTTCTGGAAGTGGGAGTCAGTGGCCAGGGATCCATCATGTCCCTGCTCAGAGCCTCCCCTTGTCCCACAGTGGCAGTGAGGACAGAGTCCTGAGCTCCAATTCCACTCTGCCACCTGCCAGCTGTGGCCTCGGGTGTGTGACTTAGCCTCTTGGATTAAAAGTGATGGAACTTACCTGTAAGGTGCAGGCAGGCTGCTTGGCACAGAAGAGTGTACAGTAAATAAAAGCTATTGTTATTACCCTTAGGACAGACCTCAGGGTAATAAGAGGAATGGGCCAAAGGGGCCCTGCATCCTGGAAGAAGAGGGGTGAGGCTTGGGGAGCTAGAGGTAGGAGTGGCCTGGGAAAGGCTGCCTGCCAGGCCCCCAGGTGCCCTTGAATGAGTGCCAGTGAATGAAGCCCTACTGGATGTCCCTGGGTCAGCCCCAGGCAGAGGGAGAACTCTGGACAGGGAGGCCAGTGGTCCCACTTGAAGGTGGGTCCACGCTCCCCGTAGTGGACCTACTCTACCAAGCGAAGCCACTGTCCCCTCCTGCAGCAAAAGCCCGGCCCTGGTGTCCAGCCTCAACCCCGGGGCAGCGAGACTGGGTAAGCATGTCCTTGTCCAGCACAGGCTCTCCTCACCCTCTGTGGAGCCAGGTGGCCCAGGACACCTCCGGCCCCAAGAGCTGGCAGTGCCCAAAGAGGTGGGGGGCTGAGGTTGTGGCAGGGGAGTGGGTAAGGCCAGGAGCTGGGATCTTATCCAGTGTGAGCGTTTTTCTGCCTGTGCTGGACACTGGGTGGTGTAGGCCCCCCTCCGACCTTGAGGAGCTCAATGTGGGTATTATTATTTTATCATTGTTACCAGTGTCTTTGCGTATTAATGCAGGTGAGGATAACACCTGCTTCCAGGGCTGTTGGAAGGGCCCGATGACATGTGTACAGTCCTTCCCGTAGTGCCTGGTGCAGAGAGCTCAGCACATTAGAGCCAAGTGTGTTCCTATGATTCCTACCACGTGACCCAGTGAGATGGTAAAGGCCTGACTTAGGGCTGAGTAGGTTAGCCGCTTGGAGAAAGGGCAGAATTGATGGATGTGGAGTGTATGGGCAAGGACGTCAGAGAGCAGCCAGTGGCACCCACAGATTTTGAACCAGGCGGTGAGAAGGTGCAGTGGAAGGTCCCTGTAGGACTGGGTACTTGTGCTGGGGAGAGTCCCTGTAGGACTGGGTACTTCTCCTGAGGAGGGTCCGTGTAGGACTGGGTACTTCTGGATCATCCAGCAGGATGTCAGCCCAGGACAGGAGCAGCCAGCCCTGCATTCTCCCAACCGAAGGGGCCCAGCCATCCCCATCGGCCCAGGCTGGTCCCCGATTAAGCCCTGAAAATCCCATGTCCCGAGAAACCCCTCAGTTCTGGGCAAGTGGGCCAGTTGGTCGCCCTAGAACACAGGGCACCCACTGTGGCCAGCACTGGGCTCAGACCTGGCCTTGCCCTCAGTCCCCTGGGTGAGTGAGGCTGACGCGCACCTACGCCATCTCCTGGCGAGATGCACTGTGGACTGTCCCTCCTCCCATGATAAGCACACTGCCCTTTGTTGCTCCGGGCTCTGGTGCTCAGCCACGGGGACCAGGCAGTGCTTCCTGCAGGATTTCCCCGGGAACTGACTCCATTCTGAGAAATGAGGGTGAACTCTGGCCAGACGGACCACTCAGCTCCTGGAATCTCCCGGCTCCCTTCCGCTCTGGCTCCCTTCCCCTTTGCACCGCTCTCTCCTAACTCCTGGGTTCTGGGCAGGTGCCCACAGTGCCCTCCAGAGCAGCCCCCTGACCCTAAACACTGGCTTCTTTTTCAGGGCTGGGCCTGACCCCCTTGGAGGAGAGAGGAAGGCAGGAAGGCAGGAGGGAAAGTCTTGGACTGCAGTGCAGTTCTTAGAAAGTCCCAGCAAAGGCCATGGGAGTCCTGGAGAGTGGGCATCTCCCAGCCACAGCCTGTCTCGCTGTCCCTCAGGCTCTGCTGGGAGCAGTGTGGAGGTCTGGCCTCGGTGCTGAGGACACAGCTGTCCCCTCAGTCACACCGGAGAGACGCATTCCCATGGCCACCGCAAGGGCACTGCCTCTTTTTTTTTTAACCGTGGCAATTTTTAAAAACAACTTTATTGAGATATAGTAACACATGCACCATGTAATCCAGCCATTTAAAGTGCACTCTTCGGTGGTTTTTAGTACATTCACACGTGTGCAGTCATGACCACAGACTAATTTTAGAACATTTTCTTCAGGCCAAAAAGATACCCCAGACCCATTAGCCAGCATTCTTCATTCCCATCCCCCCTCCACTCCCAGCCTAGAGCCATCAATCGCTGATCGACTCTTTGTCCCTATAGGTTTGCTTGTTTCATATCAATGGAATCATACAATTTGCAGCCTTTTGTGACTGGCTTCTCTCACTTAGTGCAGTTGAGAGATCCATCCCCAATGTGGCAAGTATTCCATTTCCTCTCACTGACGGATACTCTGTCATACGGATTTACCACATTTTGTTCATCAGTTGGTGGGCATTTAGGCTGTGTCCACATTTTGACTGTTACAAATAATGCTGCTGTGAACACTCATGTACAGGTTTCTGTGTGGACATGTTTTCATTTCTTTTGGGTCCACACCTAGGAGCGGAATTGCTGGGTCGTGTGGGAACTCTAGGTTTAACATTTTGAGGAACTTCTAGTGTGTTTTCCATTTTCCACTTCTAGATGCAGTTACAAGTGTTCCGACATCTCAGTGTCTTCAAACCCTTGTATCGGTCCATCATCATCTTTTTGTTAACCCTCACTCAAAGATGTTTTTCCCCCATTGCTTTTCAGAGAGAGTGGAAGGGAGAAAGAGAGAGAACCATTGATTGGTTGTCTCCCACACACACCCGCATCGGGGCCGGGGATGGAGCCTGCAACCAAGGTATGTGCCCTTGGCCGGAATCGAACCCAGGACCCTTCAGTCCTTGGGCCGATGCTGTAACCATTGAGCCAAACCGGCCAGGGCTGCTCCGTCCTCTTTGTTACAGCAGCTGTCTTACTGGGCGTGCTGTGGTAGCTCACGGTGACATTTCCCTGGTGACTAATGATGTTGAGCGTGTGTTCATGCGCTTATTGGCCATTTATATATATCATGATCTTCTGGATAATTTTTCCCTCCATTAGAGGTGATTTACAATTTTAAAGGATCCCCCTGGTTGCTGGGGTGAGGGAGGCGTCACAGGGTGGTTTTGAGGACTGGGATAATCCTGCAACAAGCACTTACTGCCACGCCTGGTGCACTGTGGCCACTCAGTAAATATTAGCCCTTATTGTTGTTGTTATTAGAGCTGTGTGTGAGACCCAAGTCCTGGGCTCGGAGCCGTTTTCTGGCCAGGGTGCTCCCCTCTCCTCTGCCCCTGGAGGAGAAGTCGTCAGTGCCCTGTGGCTCTAGGAGGCATGCTCAGGAACTCGGCAGCCCTGTGTGTGCGTCTGGTGGGGCCCCTCCAGAGAAAGAAGGCTGGAGCTCCACTCAGCCGGTGCTTGCACCAGACTGTAAGTGCACTCTGCCACCTGCAGGACCCAGGGCCCCTGGGATCTGGCTTGGTCCCGGCTTCAAACCTGTGCATGAGCTGCCTCTTTCAGGAAGCCTTCCCTGCCTACACCCTGAGTGTGGGTCCCTCCCTTGCCCTTGCTTCTAATCTAGAACTTGTAGCTCTGCATCTGAATGGCTGCTTGGTGCTGCTGGCTGCCCATCGCCCCCTGTGCCCGGCCCATGTTGGGCCCACAGTCAGTACTCAGTTCGCTGAACAAATCCATTATGTAGAAGCCTGAGAACAGGCACTGTTGCCTCACCGCCCAGAGCTGTGACGCTGAAGTTCACTCCTTCGAGCACCCCAAGTTTCTGCAGTCTCCCCACTATTTTACCTCCTTCCTAAACTCATTCCCCTCCTTTTTTCTCTCTCTGTGCCCCTGAACCCCTCTACTCTTTCCTACCCCAGCCCTCCTCTAACTTCCCCCACTCCAACTTCTACTCCCCCCACTGCTCCTGACTCACTTTGGGTTACTTATTCAATACGATGCACCCCTAATTCAGAAGTAATTTCTTGTATCATTGAATCCATATCAATCATGAGATGAACTGCTATTTTTGGACTAGTCAAGGGGGAAAATGCCAGACTCATGCTATGATTGTAAGGCATCCAGATTCAGAGAAGGGTGGTGCAAAAAAATGCACACATCAGAAGCCATTGACAACGGCATGACCTCCATATAAAAACCCTGAAAACAGGAAAGCACACATGAGCCCTGGCCGGTGTGGCTCAGTGGGTCAGAGCATCGTCCCACGCACCAAAACGGTGGCCGGTTTGATCCCGGTCGGGGCGCATGCAGACTGACTGATACTTCTCTCTCTCTCCCCTCCCCCTTCCTCTCTCTCTCTCTCTCAAATCAATCAGTCAATTAAAAATTAAAATGATTTTGACGTGTACTGAGTGCCAGGTGATGGGTGTCAGGAATTTAGTGAAGGGACAGCAAAGCACCCACTAGGTGCCAGTCACTACGCTGGGCTCTCTTTGAATTGCTCCCATTGGCAGGACCCCCAGGCTATGGAAGAACCTGGCCCATATAGAGATGGTCCCTGGGCTGGGGACAGGGGCCTGGTGCTGGCAACCCTGCTGTTGCTGCTACCTGACCAGGGTCCTGTCCAGCTCCTCCTCTGACCTTGGGCAGGTCCCCGACACTCTCTGAGCCTCATGTCTTCATCTTCAGAGGAGAACATCAGAGACCTGACTCTGCTCTCTGCCAGCTGGGAGACTCAGACCTGCTGAGAGACCACAAAGCCCATGCTCCCATTATACTGGTGGGGAGACTGAGGCCAAGAGGACCTAGTCACCCAGCCATTGTCACCCAGCCAAGGCGGCCCTCGGGCCTGGCCGATGTCTGTACACCAGTGGATGAGGGGAACACGGGGGAGGAAGGGGTGGCTGGAGAAGGGCCCTTGAGCTCCCCAAAGCTGAGCAAGTTCACCTGGGTCAGTACATGGCCTCATCTCAAACAGGTCTGAGTGTCTTTGTTGTGTGACCTTGAACACATCACCCCACTCTATTCTCTCATCTCTAAAATGGGCCCAGCCGATTGCCCTGAGACGTGAATGAGGACCTTAGAGAGTCCTCTGCCCTTGGAAGCTGCTGCTGTCACTGTTGCCATGATCCTTCCCTGCTCCCACCTCCCCTGCCTCCTGCTCCTCCCCATTCCCAGCCACTCCTGAGCAGCCTTTAGCCTGATTGTGTCGGTGGCTTTGTCTCAGGACCTGCCGGCCAGCCGGGCAGGTGGCAAGTCAGGCCAGTGGACCGGGAGGAGCCAGGATGGAGTGGGGAGGAGTCAGTGAATGGGAGGGGCCAGGGTGGAGGGGGAGGGGCCAGGCAGAATGGGGAGGAGTCAGGCCAGTGGAATGGGAGGAGCCAGGTGGAATGGGAGGTACCAGGCTGAAACGGGGAGGCACTGGGCACTGGGAGTCCGCAGAGCATAGGTAGGGGAGGCAGGCTGGAGCCCAGCTATCTGAGAGTGCTGATCTCCGCCTCCTCCCTGGGAGTGGACGGGTGGCTGGGGCTGTGTTGGGGGGTGGAGGGATAGCTGCCTGTCTTCCTGGGACCGCAGGCTGCGGCACATCCTCCACTCTAACCTTCCGTTTGCTCTGTTCCAGCTCACCATGGCCAAAAGGCTGCAGGCTCGAAGGCTGGATGGGATTGACCACAACCCATGGTGAGCTGGGCAGGGCCGAGGAGGTGTGTGGGTGTCCCTCTGACATGGGGGGCAGGACAGGGCTAGGGTACTGGTCCCTGAGTCTGCTGAAACTCTGTTACGCAGGACAGATTTGCAGCCACAGTCCACGAGAGGCGAGAACTGAAGCAGGAGGTCTGGGTTCCAATCTCAGCTCTGTACTCTTGGCTCTAGAACTGGGACACGTGCCTAGGTTGTGGGTTCAATCCCCAGTCGAGGCACATATGGGAGGCAACTGATCAATGTTTCTTATATCAATGTTTCTCTCTCTCTCAAAAAAAAAAAATCAATTTTAAAAGAATAGATGGTCCTAGCCGGTTTTGTTCAGTGCTTAGAGCATCAGCCCATGGGCTGAAGGGTCTTGAGTCTGATTCCTGTCAAGGGCGCTCACCTCCGCTGCAGGCTTGATCCCCGGCCCCGGTCGCGGCTGTGTCTCTCTCAACATCCATATAAATCTCTCTCTCCCTTCCACTGTCTCTGAAAAGGAAAAAATATTCTCGGGTGAGGATTTTAAAAAAATGATTTCTCACTATGGATCATGGTTGAAGTTTGAAGGTTTGAAAGCCCCTGGGCTGAGACATGCGGTTGGCACAGTGCCCAGCCACCTGATCAGGAGCCTGACAGATCTTCAGGCCAGGGCAGTGCCAGTGCCATGTTTTTCTTGAACGAACCCAGTGCATTGCTCACCCTGTCCCAGAAACAGGCAGAAGTCCAGGTCGGCGTGGAAGGCCGAGCTGAGCTGGTGCTGACCCTCCATTTGTTGCCCAGGGTGGAGTTCATCAAATTGGCCAGTGAATGTGACGCTGTGAACCTGGGACAAGGCTTCCCTGACTTCCCGCCTCCAGACTTCGCCTTGGAAGCCTTTCGGCAGGCTGTCAGCGGGGACTTCATGCTCAACCAATACACCAAGGCATTTGTGAGTCTCCCAGCCTCTCCCGGGCCCTGGACACAGGCCTCTGATGGGACCCTGGGGGAGGAAGGGGAGAGCCCAGATAATTCAATCCTGCCATAGTTCAGTGTTCACTGAGTATGTCCACTGTTTCAGGCTGTGGGACAGCTCATGGTCTGGGGAAAGGCAGAACAAAAACAAGGAAGAAACCCAGAAAACAAAGGCACTTGATATGCTGTGATGGAGGAAAATGGGGCAGGAAGAAGGGGAGATCAGGAAAGGCTTCCTGGAGGAGGTGACACCTAAGCCAAGCCCTGAAAGACAAGCTACTAATTGATTTGACTCTAAATTCAAACTCTTTCTGTAAATGGTCACAGTAAATATTTCCCAACCCTTGGAGTAGACCAGTGGTTTTTAAATGTTTATATGCATCTCCTTTCAGGGGATGTTTTAGGTGTAGAGTTGCCCCTGCTTTGAGCACTGTATTGGGCTGTGCTCCATGAAGGCACGTGTTCTCGTTCCCCACCATATCCCAGCCCTGCGCACTGGACTGGCACAGAACAGGTCTCATGGCAGGTGTCGCAGGGGGGATTGAGGAACTTACCCCACAGGAGCAGACTTGGCCCTGGGCCCATCCCTAGAAGAGGCTCAAATTGCCTGGATGCAGCTGAGCTGCTGGGTGGGCCCAGGCTGAGCCTGGCAGCTGACCCCTCTGACCTGGCAGGGTTACCCACCACTGACAAAGATCCTGGCAAGTTTCTTTGGAAAGCTGCTGGGACATGAGATAGATCCTCTCAGGAACGTGCTGGTGACCGTGGGTGCCTATGGGGCCCTGTTCACAGCCTTCCAGGCCCTGGTGGATGAAGGAGATGAAGTGAGTGGGGCAGGGCCTGGGTCGGGTGGGGTTGAGGGGTCAAGGTGACACTGACCCCAGCTAACTTGACCCTTGTACTAGGTCATCATCATCGAGCCTTTTTTTGATTGTTATGAGCCCATGACATTGATGGCGGGAGGTCGCCCTGTGTTTGTGTCCCTGAAGCCGGTGAGAATGCTGGTTGGGGTGTGGGTGGGCAGAGGGGTCCTAGAAATATGTTGTCTTGGACCCTAGGAAATGGGAAAGAAGGAAGGAAGTGAAGGAAGCCAGTTTCTCCAGGATGGGGGAGGGTGAGGCAGATGCCTGGGGGGAAGGGGGATCAGATCCCTGGCTTTGACTGTCAGGTAAGTAAGGGTTGCCCTCCCTCTTGCAGACCCCCACCCAGAAAGGGGAACTGGATTCCAGCAGCAACTGGCAGCTGGACCCCGCGGAGCTGGCCAGCAAGTTCACACCTCGCACCAAAGCCCTAATCCTCAACACACCCAACAACCCCCTGGGAAAGGTACTAAGACCAATTTCTGGGGACCCCTCTGGACTGGGTGCAAGTCCCCACTCTGTTACTGATTACCTGCCTTGGGGCCTCGGTTTCTCCCTCTGGAGTGGGAGAGCTGTGCGGACTGGGCTCCTGGAGGTCCCTGGGACAGGGGCAGCAGTCCCCAGGGAAGGTATGAGGGCTGCTGGTGGAACGGGATGGGTGCCCCCATTCTTACTTCCCCATGACCCCAAGACAGTGACTTCACTGCTTAGAGTGTTTTCTCAGCTGTAAAATGGGAACGTCACAGAACCAATGAGAAGGGAAACCCGGTCTCACTCACGCACACACACACACACGCATACACGACTACCACACTCACACTTCTGACACCAGATATGTGGATTTTCCCCCCACCGCACAATTCCACAACACCAGCTAGGTGTCCTTCACTTTAACTCATTGTAATTCAGTTCCTGGGGAGAGCATCCAATCCCACAGGCTGAGGGCTCAGCCTCACAAGACTGCCCCCCCCCCCACTTCAGATGCCAGTCCCAAGTCCAGGTGGTCACCTGCACTTCTTACCAATGGGCTGTGAATCTGAGCTTCCCACAACCCCCTCCTTGGGTTCAATTAATTTGCTAGAGCAGCTCACAGGACTCAGGGAAACACTCATGTTTACCAATTTATTAAAGAACATGATAAAGGACTCAGATGAAGAGGTACACAGGGCAGGGTCTGGGAGGGTCTCAAGCACAGGCGCTTTGGTCTTTGTGGAGTTGGGGTGCATCACCCTCCCGGGTGGATGTGTCCACCAACCTGGAAGCTCTCTGAACTCCATACTATTGGGGTGTTATGGAGGCTTAATCACGTAGGCATAACTGATCATTAACTCCATTCCCAGCCCCTCTCCTCTCTCTAGAAAAGTGGGGTGGAAAGTTCTAGGCTTCTAATCATGGCTTGGTCTCTCTGGTGACCAGTCCCGTCCAGGAGCCCACCCAGAGTCACCTCATTAGAGCAAAAGGTGTTCCAAGTGCACTTAGCCACTTAGGAATTAACAAGGGTTCCACGAGCTCTGTGCCAGGAACCAGGGGCAGAGACCAAAACATATATTTTTCTGTTATCTCACAACCAACCTCACAGAGTTGGTGTTGTGGGGAATAAATAGGATGGGGCAGAGAAGCACCGGGGTTGGCCGGATCCTCTTACCTCTCTGAGCAGCCTCACTGTTTGGGGACGGTCCCCGCAGGTGTTCTCCAGGGCAGAGCTGGAGCTGGTGGCCGGCCTGTGCCAGCAGCATGATGTGGTGTGCATCACGGACGAGGTCTACCAGTGGCTGGTCTTCGATGGGCACCAGCATATCAGCATTGGTGAGCCCCAGTGGCCAGGGTGTCCCCTTTCCCCTGGGCATTTGTGCCAGGGCCTCGAGCCTGACCTAGGAGTCAGTGCAGGCCTGAGGCTCAGGACCAAAGGGTCTGGAGGTGCATAGGTCACGTGACCTAGGGCAGGGAGCACCGTGGCACCCAGGGTTGTCCCGAGGACAGTCCCAAATAGGTCCTGTAAATGGCACTGATTGGAGCTCCAAATGTGAAGGGCTCAGGTACCCACTAGGGTCCAGCCACCACCCCTTCCCTGCCCCCACACCCCTGTCTGAGCAGCTGCTTTCTTTGGTCTTGAGCAGCCAGCCTCCCTGGCATGTGGGAACGCACTCTGACCATTGGCAGCGCTGGCAAGGCCTTCAGCGTCACTGGCTGGAAGGTAAGCTGATGAGGTTAGGGGGTCACCCCTGCCCCCTGACCTCTGGCAGGAAGAGTGGCCCGGGAATGAAGGAAGCCTCCAGACGGGCCCTGAAAGGCCTCAGCCCCTGCCTGTGTTTCTGTCTAGGTGGGCTGGGTCCTGGGCCCCGACAGCCTCATGAAGCACCTGCGTGTCATGCAGCAGAACTCGGTCTTTCACTGCCCCACGCAGGCCCAGGTGAGGGGGAACCCAGGCTGCACCTCGAGGAGGGGAGGGCCTGGCTGGCTGCAGGCTCAGGTCAGCATGATTTCATCCCCTCCCTGCAGGCTGCAGTGGCCCAGAGCTTGGAGCGGGAGCAGCTGCATTTTGGCCAGCCCAGCAGCTACTTCGTGCAGTTCCCGCAGGCCATGCAGCGCAGCCGTGACCACATGATACGAAGTGTGCAGTCCGTGGGCCTGAGGCCCATGATCCCCCAGGGCAGCTACTTCTTTGTCACAGACATCTCAGACTTCAGTGCGTGGGACTGGCCAAGCTGCGCAGGGTATGGGGGGGCTGGAGGCCTCCTGGGGCTCAACATGGCCTCTGTCCCCCAGAGAGCAAGATGCCTGACCTTCCTGGCGCTGTGGATGAGCCCTATGACAGACGCTTTGTCAAGTGGATGATCAGGAACAAGGTGGGCGGGGCCTCTTCCAGGGCCCCTGCTTGTGGTTTTACAGGCTGGGTGCTGCTCAGGGGCCCCACCAAGGAGCTCAGGGGCCCAGCTCCAGCCCAGTCTCTGCCATGAGCGTTCTGCCCGTTCAAGCAATGGGGAGCCTGTTCAGTTTGCACGAAGGTGCCATGTGGACTGGCAGGAGTGAATTCCTGGCCTCCCAGGGCCTCAGTCTTACCATCTGTACAAAGAGTTGGCCCATTAGCTCTGAGGGCATCCAGCTCAGAGCTGTGAGTCTCAGGCTGATTTCTCTGGCTCTGCTTTGACCCCTCTCTTGGCCCCCATGTCCCCTCTGCACACAGGAGGGACTTGGGATGATGTTCTGGGATTCTCTTCCTCTGCCCCTGACGTAGCACTGGGCGGCACCGCACTGCAGCTAACTCTCCTTCCCCCGCGCCGCCATGGACCCTCTCTGCCCTGGGAGCCTAGGCCTGCTGGGCTGGGAGGCCCTGTTGAGACACGGCTCCCTCCTCCCCAGGGCTTGGTGGCCATCCCGGTGTCCATCTTCTACAGCGTGCAACATCAGAAGCTCTTTGACCACTATATCCGCTTCTGTTTTGTGAAGGTAAAAGGGCTGTGGGAGAGGAGGCCTCCCCAAGCTTCCCGAGGCCTGCTGGGGTGTGGGGACAAGAGCAGGACCAATCTATGTTGGCACAGGATGAAGCTACACTCCGGGCCATGGACAAGAAGCTGCAGGAGTGGAGAGATGAGCTCAGGGCTTGACATCGCCCCTCGGCCCTGCCTCCCTGGGTTGGGCTCTTTGTCCAGGATTTAGTCATCTCCAGGTTGGGGTAGATGGTACTGGTGAACCCCTTCTCTGTGGCACAGACCGTCTCCAGGAAAGAGCTCCCCTTAGTCTTGGGGAAGTTGGGAGCACCTCCCCGTCACGCCTGCACTCCTGTGGTAGAGGTTGGGGAGGCCTGACATGGGCCTCTTTCATGCCCCTCCCTCGGTCAGGTCACAGGGTCTCGGGTCCCTTCTGGCCTCACCAGACTTGGCTGGGACTCAACGGGCAGAATCCAATAGTGGACTGGCCTTGAGTCCCAGCTCTGACCCCAGCAAGGCTTAGGCAGCCCTCCCTTTCCTTATCTAAACTTGACCTTGGGAAGGTGCCTTAGGCTTAAGTCCTCAAGCCTGTGTGCTTTTGCTCATAATAAAAGTTTAAGTTATTCACACCTTTATAGGCTCCACTCTGCTTCACACTGGCGCCGACCACTGATGGGGACCGTCAGGGTGGAAGGTGCCTTGGTGAGCCTCGCGTCCTAGCCCCTTTGTACAGATGTGTTTTGTGGAGTAAAACAGTCCCAGAGCCCTGGCCAGTTTGGCTCGGTGGTTAGAGCAGCACCCCCACCCCAAAACTGAAGGGTTTCGGGTTTGATCCCAGCAAAGGGCATGTACCTCAGTTGCAGGCTTGATCCCCGGCTCCAGTCAGGGTGTGTGCGGGAGGCAAGCAGTTGATGTGCCTCTCACATCAATGTTTCTCTCTCTCTCCCTTCCACTCTGAGAAGCAACGGAAAAAATATCTGGTGAGAATGAAAAAAAACAAATTAGCTATCAAGCCTCAAGAGAAGACATGGAGGAAACAAATACATATTGTTTAATGAAAGAAGGGAGTCTGAAAAGGCTACATACTGTCTGATTCCAACTAAGTGACACGGAAAAAGCGAAACTGTGGAAACTGAAAGAGCAGTGTTGCTCGGTTGGGTGTCCTCTTGTGCACCAAAGGGTTGCCAGTTCGATTCTGGGTCAGGCCACATGCCTGAGTTGTGGGCTTCATCCCTGGTGGGGGGCGTGTAGGAGGCAGCTGATCCATGTTATGCTCTCACGTCAGTATTTCTCTCTCTCCCTCTTCTTTCCTCTCTCTCTAAACATCAATAAACTATTCTTAAAACAAGAAAAAGATCAGTGTTTGCCTGGGGCTTGGAAGGGCGTAGGTGGAGCACAGGATTTTTAGGGCAATGGAACTATTCTCTGTGGTACTGTGTTAGTACCACATTATGCATTTGTCAAAACCCATAGAATGTACAACACACAGAGTGAACCCCAATGTAAACAATGAACTTTAGTTAATAATAATGCATCGATATTGGTTCATCAACTAACAAATATACAGACTAAGGCAAGATGTTAGCAACAGGGGGACAGAGGTTAATGGGAACTCGGTACTATCTGCTCAGTTCTTGGGAATCCTAAATCTAGTCTAAAAAATAAAGTCTAGCCTGACCAGGTGTGGCTCAGCGGTTGAGCATCGATCTAGGATCCAGGAGGTCCCGGTTCGATTTGGGGCCAGGGCACAGGCCCGGGTTGCAGGCTGGGTCCCCGGGTCAGGGGCGTGTAGGAGGCAGCTGATCAACGACTCTCATCATTGATGTTTCTCTCTCTCTCGCTCTCCCTTCCTCTCTCTGAAATCAATAAAGATATCTTTAAAAATAAAGAAATAAATAATGAAATCTATTGATGAAAAGAGAGTAAATGAAGGAGTTTGTAAAAGAACCGGGTTAAATGATNATGAAAAGAGAGTAAATGAAGGAGTTTGTAAAAGAACCGGGTTAAATGATCTCCAAGGCCATGTTCAGCTCTGAATCGCGGTCCAGTTCTGGGCCTCAGGTTCCGCACCTATAAAACCGAGTGGAGGTCTGAGCGCGCGCTCGACCGGGGCGGGAGGGCGGCTCGAGTCGCCGGAGGGTCCCGGACAGGACGCGACGCTGCC